GACTTCATAAGGAAAAGGCGGAGGTAGCTGGCTTTCTCCAAAGCCACTTAACCCGGTCCAGTAACATCCATCCATGAACCGTCACGCCTGTGACATTTTCGATTGCTTTTGTATTTTTTTCATCGGCGATCCTCTGTAGAAAAAGAATTCTTCCGTCTTTTCTATTTTTACGATTTCGCAATTTCCTCGCGAAATCCTCGCGAATGGAACGCTCGGAGCGACTGCTTCGTGTAGACGTAATTTTACGAGCGCGAGAGTCGAAGGAAAAGAGGGTTTGTGCACAGGATGCATAAAACTACGGATAGAAACGGGGAAGAATTATGGAACGATTATTGTTCCACGGGACACCAGCCGGTATTTTCGTGAGATTCGTAACAGTTACATTCTATTACTGTTCCAATTAGAGGTTACACGACACGGGGAGAGGCCAGACACTTGAATTACTCACTTTTCCATGGAATTAAAATAAATTACTTCGCACAACGGGCTCCGGTGTACCGTACACGCTGCACGGAATAACGATAGCGAGCAAAGAGAAAGAAATGATCGAAGTAGTCTTTCGTGACGTCTTTCTTTTCTTTTTTACAGAGCCAAACATTTTTTATTCGGGGAAAAATCCCTGTAGAACGCGAATAAAGCTTAATCGAAGCATTTCTGCCAACAAGTTGCAAGTGAATTCTTAATTCTTGCCTCCTCTTTGCTAAAAAATGATCTAGATGCTTGAGCCAACGTTCCTATCTCAACTGTTGCATCAATGTTTAAACAGAAAATCTTTTTAATTAACTTTCTCAGCGAAGCAAATCTTGCATTTTGTTGAGCGCAACGATTTATGGCACGGACGTGGGAAAGAGGCTGTTTTTCAGATTAGGATTTTGGTTGCTGTTAGCACGAGTGTCGAGTAAAAAATATCCTGGCGAGAGAAAGTTCGGTTTACAACTCCAGAGTTAGAAATTCATTTCTCTCGTCCTCAACAGCCAAGTGCCTTGCCATGAAAAAGGCCTTCCAAAGGGTCGACATAGAAATTCGCAACGGTCGAGAGTCCGGCGAAGTTCCCCGCTGTTGCCAGACATCGCCACTCTCAGGTCAGGACATCGCCACCCCCGCTCCAAGGTAACGCGCGTTATGCGGTATGCTGATTGGGTTTTAGGAATTTTCCCAAATTGCCCAATCTGCGTGCAGTTAGAGGAAGGAAGGTGCTTCCTTCGGAAAGGATCGAAGATCAGAACACCAGAAAACTCCGAGGAAGCAACAGTTCAGAGATTTTCAACCAGTGACAGACACTGGCCGAAATAAACGACAGGCAAGAGTTGTAGCCTGTGGAACGTTGTAGTAAATAAAGTGTAATTAAGCACAAAGTGTGTCCATTAGTTCCCAATTTCGGAGTTGGGTGGTCCTTCGATAATACGTTAGAACGGCACTACGAAGGGTGCAATATACCGGGACGGAACTGTAAGGAGTACAGTGTACGTCCTCGACACATTTGAAACAGTAGCCTGTTACTTCTTCGCATGACAATCGACGCGATTCCAAGTTCGATCGTAGGTGCACCGAATTAGTATAAAATTCCGCACCGTACCAGGAAGAGAATTGGTTGAAATTGAATGGCGGAACACCACCACCGGGCATTTATGAAAGGAGCATCTCGCGGAAATAGGTCTCGACAGCGTTCCTTTCTTTTTCCGTGCTATTGAAGAGAGCTCTAAAGTCACGGATGTGATGCAAACACCAGTACTACCGGGAGAGCACTTGCTTTTCCCAGCCGCCGCTCTGAATTGCCTCCGAGTGTCATTACCTGCTCAACAGTCGAAAGAATCCGCGGAATCTTCGCCGTTTATCAGAACATCGCGTTGTGGAATTTAAATTGGATCTAACACGAGCCAGAGATGTGGAAGGGAAGAGGCAAAGAGAACGCGATCTAGAAAAATCTTCGCTTCACCGATGTATACACATTCGTGCGTGTATATAGTTTAGAAAAATCGCCGTACGAAATGGCGTGAAAGGAGAGAGAGAGTTACCATTCGCACGGAAGGACATTTCGCGGTAGAATTGGGCGCGACGATCTATTTGCCCCTGATCGACAGACGCGAGCCTGAGAACCGCGATATTTCCAACTAGGCCAGTTTATTTTTCTCGACGAGTGAAGGACGCTTGGATCATCGTGGGCCGGTCGTGGGATGTTGATTAAGTGATAAGATACAGCAATCGTCCGGAAATCTTTCGGTGAATGTGAAGAATTGGAGGCGCCTTTAGACTACGATCACACGAAGCAACACCTCGATTTATCAGTTCGGGTATCGGCGACTTGATCGATACGCAATGAAAAAGGAACGTTTCCTCAACTGCGTAGAAAATTGTTCGAGGGGCGTGAAAACTGGAGGAACGAAGGATTCGTAAAATGCAACACTATTGTCCAAGTCTATCTCTAAGATCTCGGAAGACAAGATGTCTCCGTTCACCGTGGCTATTTAATCAAATGGAAACTATCTAACGTCACATCTATCGCGAACTGGTTCACGTTGGTTCCGTGTGCCTGTTTTTCGCGCGTATCGACGGCGAATCGAACCGGATTACTTAATGTAAATATAGTAAGCGATAATAACATAGCGTCCCGTAGTGGATCCTTCTCGAAAATTCACGTCTGTTTGATCTTTCACGCTCGATATCCACGCGTGCGATAGAAAGTTTTAGAAAATCGTTCCGCTTGCTTGGGCATTTTTTATGGAAAAAGAATCCAGCCAATATCTCCGCTAAATACCCTCGATCATCGATGGAACATTTCAACACACTTTTTTCCCTCTCAACTGTCGTATTTTCTCTTCTCCGCGAAAATCTCACCTGTCGAACCTGTGTCGTCTCGAAAGGAACACAGCGTTACTCCTCGTTACACGCAAATTTTACGAACGTTTCGCCGAGTTCTAACGAACGATGTTGTTCAGTGGGCGTAAGTGTGAACTCTCGCCTGTTCGAGGTAGCCTCGTAAATATCAAACACCCACGTTTATTGACCGCGCGAAGGCAAACAAGGGAGTGGGCGGGGGGCAACAATTGCGTTCGAGAGGGGCAAGGTAATCAAGCGGGCACCTTTCCTCCCCGACAAGGGACACACACACAATCTTTCCTTCTTCCTTTTTGTTCTTCTGTTTTTAATGCTCGACTTGTAAATACACAAAAAGAGAAAGAAAACACCTTTGGGAGAAACGTATGACAAAAGAGAGACAGAGAGAGAGAGAGAGGGAGAGGGGAAAGGTAACAGAGTGTAATAGAGTATACTAAAACACGCACCACCAATCGATCGAGTATTTACAAGCTCGGGGTTTTTTTTTCCACTTCTTCCTACTTTTCTCTTCTTGCATTTTTTTTTTTCTCGCAGCCCCGACTGCAACACGTACATTAATAAATTATTCGACTATACCTGCTTCGTGTAACACACCTGTACACACACGCTCACACATGTATACACACATATATATATGTATATGAATGTTTAGTATAAATTAAATTAAATAACATTCTCCCGTTGTTTTGCAAGAAAAAATTTCGTTCGCGCAACAATGGGGAACGGATCCGTCATTTTGTTCTTCGTTCTTTTCTTTTCTTTTTTTTTTTTTTTTTTTTTTT